AGTTGTTTGATAGTATATGTGAGAGAGTTTGATAGTATATGTGAGAGTGTTTGATAGTAAATGTGAGAAAGTTGTTTGATAGTATATGTGAGAGAGTTTGATAGTATATGTGAGAGTGTTTGATAGTAAATGTGAGAAAGTTGTTTGATAGTATATGTGAGAGAGTTTGATAGTATATGTGAGAGTGTTTGATAGTAAATGTGAGAAAGTTGTTTGATAGTATATGTGAGAGAGTTTGATAGTATATGTGAGAGTGTTTGATAGTAAATGTGAGAAAGTTGTTTGATAGTATATGTGAGAGAGTTTGATAGTATATGTGAGAGAGTTTGATAGTTTGTGTGAGAGAGTTTGATAGCATGTGTGAGAGCAAGTTTGAATCATGGCCTAAAGGGCCTCTCATACAGAAAAGCTTTACTTCGACACTCTTTAAAAAAAGATGGCTTTATATTTAATTTTAAAAGCAAACATTCTGTATTTCTGTTTCAGGTTCATATGCACGGCACAGAGTTTCACAACACTTTAAGAGATTTCTTCCCGGAACAGATCTTGCCTCCAGAATATGGAGGGCAGGGACCTGGGATTGAAGAGGCCTGTCAGGACTGGACCCATCATCTGCTGCAGTCTGAGAATCTTCTCAATCAGATTGCTGAACATCCAACTGGTGATGTCCTCACAGTTCCTGACCACTCCATCATCTCAGAGGAAGCTGAGGACAAACAACCCTCTGAAGTATGATGGCTGGGTCAGAAGTCTCAGTCAGGACAGCTGATGCCTCTCAGCAAGGAGGTCCCCGGATCTAATCCCAGCAATCCAAGAGGTCTCCTGGAGGAGAGACGAAACGTTTCATTGAAGAAGAACCTGTCCAGAAGACTTGCTTTATTCTTCTTTTTGGTTTTTCTGAATTACTGAGACGCATCAGGACATGTTCTGTCTGTGCATGCATGGGTTTTCTCTGTGTACTCCAGTTTCCTCCCACAGATCAAAAACATGTTAGGTTAAATGATAACTCTAAATTGTCCCRATGTGTGATATAATCTTATTTATCTACCGTTGTTTATCCAGGCMAGTCCCACTGAGATCACAGATCTSTTTTTTACGGGAKGCCTGTAGGCAGCCTGTTGTAAATGTTGTGGAGGAAACCRGAGKACCTGGAGAAAACCCACACAGGCACGAGGAGAACATGTAAACTCCACACAGAAAGAGCCCAGGTCCGAACCAGGGATCAAACCCAGGACCTTATTTCTGTGAAGCTTCAGTGCTAACCACTGAGCCACTGTGCTGCCCAGTATGAATGTGTCCCTGTGATGGACCTGCATCCTGTCCAGAGTGTCCCCCGTCCCTCACACTGTGACTGCTGCATGTGGGCACCAGTGACCCCCTCCAGTAAAAGATAAGAGATAATGGATGGATGTGGATAAAACCCCCATCAGTGAGGCAGGCGTGACTTTGTACCAGCTGCTGCCTGGATCCAAACATCTTCACACACACGGTTCTGCTCTTCAGCACAGCTTCATTTGGGTTGACATTCTTTAAAAACTGCTCGCCTGCTTACCTTGCTAATTAACATTTTGACCAAAGAGTAAAGTTCACAAAATACATGTTTACTTTTTTATTAAAAGATGGATCTGCAGGTGTCTGAGTTAGATTACGATGTGGGAACGTTGTTTTAGTTTTTGTATTCTGACTTCATTCCTGTTTTTCTTGGATTGTTTTATGTTTGAAGCAGTTCTGATGGTCCTATCATGATTCTTATATCTTGTCTGTAGTTTACTGTGATTAYTGAAACTGGGCCTTCAGCTTGGATAAAACATGACGTCCTGCAATCTGGGCTTCTGATAACTTGTAAAATGTTGCACTTCTACACTACATTGTGTGTCAACACATGCAAACACTGCTTGAATGTCCTCGTGGTGCGTTCAGGTACAACCTTTATAAGTCACATTGAAACATTAACTACTCAAAACACTACATTGTGTGTCAACACATGCAAACACTGCTTGAATGTCCTCGTGGTGCGTTCAGGTACAACCTTWATAAGTCACATTGAAACATTAACTACTCAAAACTGCTAAAGTTGACAACTAAATACCCCTTTAAGGTGAAGTTTATTATTTATTTGTTTAAAATTAAATTCTGAGTGTTACTGTCAACTCAAATGTTCTTTATTATAAAGTCACATTGTTATCTGCTAACTTCACTTCAGTCTGTTTGTTAAAAACACACAAGTTGAAGTTGTGTCCTGTGTCACAACAGCATGTGTTTATGTACTTGTGATTTATGGTTACTGGAGACCTTCCCTGCCTGGGATATTAGTGATTAGCTTCATAAATAGAACTGCAGGCAGGAAGATGACGATGATGATGATGAGGAGGGTATTTCTGTTCACAYTGAGCATGATAGGAAAAGCAGCAAATTTAATAAAAACATTGAAAACACATTTCTACATCAATAAATAGAAA